ATCTGCTTTCACTTATGCCTAGAATGTTGATCTTATATTTTGCCATTCCTCTTTCTATTTGTGCTGTTTTCCCGATCTCATACATCGTCCGCACATTCCATGCCCCAATGTAACAAGATTGTTTCGGATGCAATAAAGATGATCTGATTGTGCTAGTACTAGTAGCAGTCATATGCTCATTTGAAGTCTGGAGATCACCGTTATTGCCAAGATGTTGAGTTAATTTCTGGTTATCAGTTTCCGTAACAAAGTTCTTTTTACAGGGTGGAGTTGTAAGCACCACGCCAAACCTCCACTCTGGTGGGCCGGGTTTTCTCTTTGGGTTTCCTTCACGTAGATGCTGACAGTTCCCACTGTTGACGAGTTGCATCTACCCGGATTTTCTGTCTGGATTTTCTCCCATAGCCTTTGACTCTTCAAAGCCATTCACAAGGCAATGGAACTATTTTACCCATAGTTGGAGACTAGGTTTGCAGGTATCAGGGCATGTCCACATGCCGGTGGGCCTAGCATGCCATGCATCTAGTGGCCTAATCTCCTCCGAGACCTTGTGGTTTAGCCTGAGGCCGCAAGGTGCCCAGTTACCATCTATCACCTCGAGGAGGATCTCATATCTGGGCCACATAGGTCTTACTGCATGAGAGGCTATAACTGGCAGAGAAGACTTACGCAATTGGCTTCCTTTTCACAGCAAGCTGCTAGCCAGTGGTGAGGTTGTAAGCCAAAAGTGACAAGCACAAGACACCACAACACACACACTGTACGCATCACACCGCATTTTATGCCAAACATGTTCTCAAACATGCAGCATGATCAATTGTGTTATCTAGCAAATTCTCATGCTGTTTTTGGTATATCATATCAGCGTCGTTTGCTCTAACAGCACCATCATTAAAATTTGCTAATCTTCAAGCATGGTATGTAATCTTATCACTTTCTATGAGACATTTTGTTGCAAATTATACACTTTAACATGTTTAATGTATCGAGAGGACGGGTCAACATTTCTTTCAACCAACGAAGAATTGAATAAATCTGGCTTCATATCCTATGCTTCCTTTTCAACCGTGCTACTGATTTCAAATTCTGTTTACTTGTGTAGCTGTTAAAACAAGACCTGTGATACCTAAATATGGTTGAACCAGTTGACGTAACATTACATAGTTCACTGAAATATAATAAATAAATAATCACGTCTCACTGCTGCAGTATATATCAGACTTTTTTTCTAGATTCGGTTGCTATTCTTAAAATTTCAGCAAATACATAAATGCAGGTAATGTATTTGTCAACTCCAACTTCAGAGCACATTTTCTTGGCATCGGACGGAACCATTTTTAACGAACTAGTGTTATTGTCCTTTTACTTGAATAGCCAAGAACACACCTGAAAACCAAACGCACCCTACAATGATTGTCACGTTCACGGCTAAATTCAACAAACACGACTAAACAACAATACCTAACAACATGAATGAATCGCAATGCTTCATTTATTCTAAAGTAAACAAGACATAAGCGTGACAATAACTACAAATAACCATCACAAAGTTGCCTAATGTGAGCTTATAACTAGAAACCAGAACAGTATCGGTTCATGTATGACAAATACCCGGAATTGAAATTCTGATAACATGCAGATGTTTAACCAGTTATATTGCTTATTATAAATTTTCTTCAAAAAGTAAATCGGGTCGATTGAAATACTATACGACGGCATTACGGTTGTACCTTTAAAATACACATTTATTTGCATGTGCAAATAATGCTAGGTGAAAAACAGTGATTTTTTTGGTGTTTTTATTCACACTTTTTATATGCTCTGTGCTAAAAACATAGCACTTATTAAACATGCCCTTATAACAGTATAATGTATGAAAATCAGGAGTTACCATATTAACAATTTAGTTCACAAATCACGTTTAGAAAATGGTTAAGTATGATATTAGTCCATCTTAACAGGAGTGTGGTCTTCGATGACATTTGGGTAACGTCAGTTAAGGTCGTTTTTTTTACGTCATTGGTACCACATTTGACATTGACGACAAATAGTTTTTTGAAGTTGAATGATCGAAAGACATTTTAAGACATTATTATTCCATGAGGTATTTAGGTAATTTAAACTCGTTAACTAAGCGTCTTTTTGAACATTAGCCGCTCCACTATATGGCCTATGTTTTTAAACACTTTACCAATGATTAATATTAAAGAAAGCACCAAAGGTGCAAAAGAAAGTTGCAAATATTGTGATGATACTTAACATTTTATGTAATATTTACTCGACTGTGGAAATAAGCAATTTTAAGATTCGAAATTTAAAAAAACAAATATTATCATGATAAAATTACATTGACTTTCATGTTGTTATTGTGTTGGAAATGTATCTTCTTCCTTGATTTTGTGATCTGTTCTACAAATTGATATAACTGGGGTCCCTGTTAAACTTTGAACAAAGGACAACATGAAAACGCCGTTTAATTTCAATTTTTAATTACATATCTGATATATATTGATATAAAAGAATCAAACATATTGTAATCCGAAATATTAAGATAAGCGTCGGCAAAAAAGTAAATAAATAAAAATAAAGGGGGTTCAGTTGCATGGTTGTTAAGATTAACTTTCTAATGTATATATCAAACCCAAGTGGGTTTTTTCTGTTTAATGTGAAGAAACGAGGGAAATATCTTAAGACAAATGCTTAAAATTTCCCTTCAATCTGATTTTTTCTCTATATATACATGATATACTATCGATAGAATTGACTTAAGTCATTCTGTATCATTGGTGAACACTTTTTTTGCAGTACATATCAGACAAATATAGAGTTAGCTTAATATTTTTAAAATTCTTAAAATCATATATCTCCATAAAAATACACCAAACCATCTCAGGAGATATCGTAATATAGCCGAAAAAAAGTTACTTTGTATATTTTTTGGGAAAAAAAGGAAATTTTATGTAATTGACATTTGGCATTGCTTTAAAGAAAAAATGTCTAATTCGAAATGTTAAAAACCAAACAAAACATTACGTTCAGATAATAAGCTTTCGAATGTTATAAAGTATATAGCCGTATATTAAATGGGTGCATTCAAGTCTTTTACCAACAGTCTCTTCGAAAAAAAAATACTCGCCCTAATAGCTATAACAGTTAAAGAAAGCAGGGGTTGACTAACTCAGCTAATATATAATTGCTACATATGTTCTACGAATATGGAATTCAAGATTTACACTGTCCGTAATTCACCATCAACATAGAGCCAAAATGATTTTTAAAACTTATTTACCATTGAATATTTTTTCTTGTCTCGGTGACAAAATGTAGAACACAAGATCATTTCAAAACAGCACTTCGTACATATTGGTTTTGTTGCACTGAGGTTTTTTTTTAGTTTTTTTTACCATTAATTTCATCTAATTTTTTCTCGACATTCGTTTTTTTATTTTGATTTGATCTGAATTCTCGATGATTTACTTGCTTGGCTACCCAGAGTTCGCATTGTTTTGTCCTTACAGTTCCTTTTATGGAACTATAGTTCGATGGTTAAATGTTTTAAATCTTTATTTTGTATTTTTGTTGTTGTTGTTTGTCTTTTTTTAAGGGAGAGTCGGGAGTATGATGGTTGCTGTGGTCTGTAATACATTTGTTTACTTGAATCGCTTTCTGTTATTACTAATCTACCAAAACGTTTTTCAAGGAAAGGAAAAAAATAAAAATAACAGTGCTAAGAACTGACACCGCTTGTAAATCTTCAGTCTCTGTAGTCGTTATCCACCCATTAGTCAATCTTTTGGGGACTGAATAATTTTATCATTTTAAGGTTATGATTTAAAATAATTTTTATTTTGAAAAAAAGTATGAATACAAGGAGATGTGGGTTTACATCAATAAGAACACAAAAACTACAAAAACCCCCAAAAACAAATTAAAAAAAACCGTACAGCTTAATGCCGTCCTGAGTCTTAAAAAAAGTTAGAAAAATTAAACAATAACTTTCAAAATTCGGTTAAAAACCCAAAAACCATTTTTTGCTACATATTTGATATTCTGCGGGTTTACATATTTCCGGAACAGTTCATCAAATGTCTTATCGTACTTAGCGAAAATGTTTGTTTTACCTCTGTTGAATTCGATTTTGAGGTCCTCTCTCCGTTTAAAGTCATATGAAACCAGTTTCTTGTAATTTTCATGTTATAAAAATTCTCTAACCAATGCATGCATATATACTAAACTAAGTCCTGTATCTACGTTTTTTATATTTATTATGAATCTATAACGTATTATCGACAAATAATATTTCATTCCAGGATTTGTCGATTGCAAGCTAATTAAATTTCGATTTTGATGCCGAAGTTAACCGGATGGTGTCATTGATAAAAATTCAACACAGAGCACGTGACAAATAAGTGAATTGATAGAGCCATGATATATTTTTTTTTCCATGCGTTCCCATTTGTTGATTAAACTTTTCCTTAACAGTTGTTAAATGATTTTTTGTATTCAATTTGTTCTTTAAGAATCAGTTATTACTATTTACATTTCAGTGCACGTTTGTTTACATTCTTTCATCACGGTTTTCCACTCGCAGTTGCGCTGTGCGGTGGTCGAGTTCTAACAGGAGGTCTCGTTATTAGGGTCACTGCATACGGGAAAATATCGGCGATTTAGTGTACGGGAAGACAATAATTCAATAGCAAAAATTAGAAAATTCACGTAAACTTGTTTTATAATAAAACATATTCAACTTTATTTTACTTTGATGTTTCATATTACTTTAAAGAGTAATGTAATAGTTATTTTTTGGGGTTATGCTTTAAATGAATATTGATTCCCTTTGCCATTCCTTTAAAGTCAAATATCTGATCCGATCGTATTGGTAAAAGATTGATTCAAAAATTATTTGTGTTGCTTTGTACACTTGTTGAGCAAAAACATTTCATACTGTGTTTTTATTAGAAATATTAGTTAATGATTAGAACACACAATAATGTTTTTACCTTTTTCACATCTACTCCCAGTCCATCCATCTATACAACCAAATATACAATTCCCGACATCAAGGTCACATGGTCCATTACAGTTTTGTGGACACGTGGTATTACAGAAAGGTCCATAGTGTGTAGGAGGACAACCTGGAAAGTAAAAATATAGTTGGAATAATTGTGTTATCAAAATTCGTCACTCAATTTTTATAGCATTTTCCTCATAAATTACTTAATCTATTGATAAAAGTAGAACTTTTTTAGATACTGAACTTATCAGCAAGAATAACAAACGAGCCTACAAGAGCAAGCTATTATTCGAGCTGTTTGAGTAAATATATAAAAAATGCCCTTATTGTTTTTTATCTGCAAAATGTTTGAAATTACATGAAGTAGATAAATTACTCTTTTTACGCGTACAAAACGTTTCGCTCATAGTTGTTATGCTGTATAAATGACGTCGCCTGCATTTCATTGATAAATTGACACCGATGAACATAAAACGTGTGACGATGATTTATTGCTAATACATAATCTATCCTTGTTGATTCAAACATCTGTAGTTTATGCAAGGTTGCCTTAAAATATTTCGCATTTGCTAATATTTTCAATTACCAATTCTGTCCGCAATCTAAAAATATATTTGGCAGTAGGATCAACGGAAATTGTGAACATTTACGATACTATTGAGGTTTTGTGGTTTATGCTATAAAGACTTAATTATGGACAAAGGTTTTTTCCAAAAAGAGTGTACTTGTTTGTAATATATATGAAAAATAAAGAGTTGTTATGTGTTGCCCTATCAATGTTCTTTAGTTATTTTAGTCGTTAGGTTGCTGTCTAATTGGTTTTTACTTCGTATCTCCTTTTAAGGATAGATATGTAACGTACGTTGCCCCTGTGAATGTCTTTTCTGTATTGATTGTTTTTAGGTTTGTGGTCGATTTGTCGTACCTCAACATCACAATTTAATTATATTTATGAAATCCTGTATTTTATTTTTGTTGATTCAAACATCTGTAGTTTATGCAAGGTTGCCTTTAAATATTTCGCATTTGACAAAGCTGTTAAATTTGTGAATAAGTGTAACCCAAGCGTGAATGCATATTAAATAGAAATTTTCGAAAAGTCGTCTACACTGACACTTACACCGACACAGATACCTACACGGACTACAAAAATAAAGGGACCGTATCAAAATGTCGAAACATACTGATTGAATGACCTCGTAAAACTTGGTTGCAGAGGTATAAAATAACTTCTGTAATTTTTCTTATACAATTTTTTATTCGGAATCGGAGCAAGAGAAACACCGAATGCTCTCATTAGTTTTGGATTATTTTAAGAAATGAATATGTGATATTCCATCTGGTTTTTATTTGTCTTCGTTTGCAACTATTTAAACGGAATACAGTGTTACATGTACGGTAGAATAAACAATTGTCGAATTTAATTGCTAGAAAGCATTCGGAACACTATGGAGACATCATTGAACACATAATATTCCATTGGTGATATATGTGCATGCTTAGTTTATCGTCGACGTCAGCTGTTCTTCTAAATGAGTTATCTTATTTTTTAATGAAGCAATCAACAGGTCTTAGGATTTGTAATGGACGTTTCGGTGACTCAAGTAGAAAATGTACATTTCAAAATGAAAATGGTGGCAGCGTAAAATTCCACCAATAAAAATCTAAAAATAAAAAATAATGTTTGCAAATAATAATTATCTTACCTTCATATTGCAAAAATAATTTTGATTAATATAGTTCTGTTCAGGCAAATGAACGAAACAAGATAGGTTTTTACAATTGTAAAGCATTAATTATCTTAATGAGAAATGATATCAAACTTTGTATTTGACAATTCGTACCGAAGTAAGGTGTATCTAGCACAGAAATAGCATGGTTAACAAAAAAAAAAGCAATCACTTTAATCTAAAATGAAATACGAATTGAAATGTGTGTTTTTACACAATTAAGAAAGATTTGAATAGAACATCGGGGGTTCTCCACATGGACTTCTTTAAAAATCACTCGAGAGTAATAATATATATCATTTTTAACAAATGAAGCGGTAAACGATAAAATAGCTTCCAATTGAGTTAATCGGCTGATGTGATAAGATAACATTATCTTGATTTTAGACTCAAAAGGTCCATATATATATACATGAAACAAAATATTCTGTTTAAACAGAATACAATGTTAAAATATTTACAGTATTAATTATAATTCAAAATTTAGATATAACTCATTGTACCATACTCTCAACAATGTTAAAGAATACAATAAATCACTTCCGATAGTTGTATTAACCAACTGATTTTGAGATAATTTCAATCAATTTAACAAACTAAACATTGACTTTCGCATAACTTCCTTGAAAGACACAACTTCATTTACGACAAAAATATTACTTGCACTACATCTATATTGATGTTCCATTATTATTCTGAAAGCATTATTATACATTAAATGCATTTTATTTAAAGAGGCAGACTTACATTTAGACCACATATAAAGATACACAATAGACATTCATACAATAAGACTGAAACAGTTGAATCTTCACACTCGTAGAACATTTGTTAAATTTTCGCTTCAGCTTCTTTACGATATCTATACATGACAGACATTTTCTAAATCTAGGCATTTTGTAAAATTCCTGAAAACTTTAGGCATTTTCTAAAATGCATGTGAGATTCAGGCATTTTATATATTGACAATTTTTTTCAGAATTAAAAGGCATTTTAGATAATGCCTGAAATTATTTTATATTTCATAGAACGAAATATTCATAAAAATTGAGCACCTGAAATTATCGAAAAACAGAACAGTTTTATATATGATAATAACTGAATTCTAAAACTTGCACTTAAAGAGTTTTAATAATTCAAAATAAATTCTACTGAATTATTCAAAATTCCCACAAGCACCAAACTCGACACTTGTTTTTTATTTCATATGATGCTTGGATGAAAGGATCTGTTACATATTTGTCCTGATTTTTTTTGGCAAATACATCTCTTTACGTAAAATCGGGACTTAGCACTACAACCACATTTGGAGAAACCAGAACCATCAAACATTTAGCTTTTCAATACTTTGTCTGATAAAACACTTAATGTTCGACCAACAATAATTGGGTTTCGCAAAAAGCACACACATGAATATCTTCTTTATCATGTGTCCTAACAGATTCAAAGTCACATTATCATGATTAGGTTGACTGATATCGTTTTCGCTCATCAGAGCATTTAACAGGCTGAAGTAGATATACGCATGTCGGGAGACGCTTACCCTGTCGATGCACTTTTATTTGTCTCTTCCTGGTCGATTTTCGAGATTTTAACTATGGTTAACTAACATTGCATTAATTCGTCAGATGGTAAAGACCCAAAAATTCCACTGAGGCTGCGAAGCTAGCGATACTTATATCTTTGCATCACAACCAATCACGGCCTTGCGTGGCCAAAGCCATGATATACTAGTATATAGAAGGGAACGATTCGAGACCAATTTTCTGTCGCTATCCAACATCCTTTCATTTTAAGCGACAGACATAATTCCTGTCCTTTATACGGGTCTTCCATTACAGAACTTACATCTTTTATTATCAATTTGAACTCGTCTTAAATATGCATGAACTATTTTCTACCGAATGCAAAACAAACAACAATAAGTCAATAAAACTTTGCTTCTTTTTCTCTGGATCATATTACACACTTCTGTTTTGAATCTAGATTTTCAAAAATTCGTTTGTAATTTTGTTCATTGTAAGAACAATTTGTTCTTCTGCCACCATGACAAGAAGATTATAAAAATACTATACGAAATACAGAGTGAGTACATACTTAACGTAGTTTCACTAAAAAGAATACAAACTTTCCCAGCAGGTTTTTTAAGTATAAACTCAATTTTACGGAACCATTGGTTATTTACTTTGCACGATATTGTGTTTTTGGTCATATGCATCTCAATATATTTATCTTTTATTACCTGAACAGGTAATTTGTGGAATTTTGTTTCAAAATTTCAGTCATTTTACAAAATGACTAGCTGTTTTTAGTTATTCTATAGAATACCTGTCAAGGTTACCCATTTTATTAATTGCCTGAAAATTCAGTCATTTTACAAAATGACTAAATTTAGAAAATGCCTATATCATATACATATAATGCTCAATTATTTGTTGGTCTTACTAATTCTAGTCGTTTTAACTTTCCTTCGATATTGTGCCACGCATAGTTGTTTTATCGAAAGTCAGATTGATAAGTTCTGCTCTCACATTGTGATATCGACGATCAGTTATGATCTCCAACTGTGATGTCGCTGATAAGTTTTGTTAAACTTCACACCGAAGGAACTCGACAAGTCGATATTGGCAAAGGGTTCGAGTATAATTTAACATGCTAAGGATAGTGATAAACATTCAGATTGAACACGGTACTGTTCAGTTCATATACGTTTTAAGTTGTTTTCATTGCTTTATAGTTGGTTTACTAAACGTCCAGTTTACACAATTACCAATAAGTATGTTCCGTAATAGAAGTCGACCAGGATGAAGATTTGAATTTTGACTGCCATAGGAACCTGATTGTGTGTTGAATAGAGAGCGAACATTTTCTATACATAAAATACTAATGGATCCCTGAGAAATAGTTGCCGGAGTTATTCATCATTTTTTTTTTATTTATCTTAACATTGTAAGAGATATATATAGGACAGTCAACCCCCCCCCCCCACACACACACACACGTAAACGTACAGCTTTTGGAGGAAATCCTCACTGTTACGTTTAACTGAGGTATTGTAGGAGCATCGTTACCACGGCATGCGACAGACTTATTAATGGCATTTGTTTCAGTTGTTTGTTTTGAACAATTAAGTACAACTTCAATATATAAACGACCTTTGTTTCCAATCTAGCTAAAACGTTTTCAAAACAGTTTTTTTTTTTAAAGTTTCCTGAACATTTTAATTTTATATAAGAATTTCCTTCACGTATATAGATACTAACCATGTGTTGAGTTCTTTAAAATGCACTTACCAATAATCCCAATTTCACATAGTTCAAGTTCAGTAAATAGATTATGAACTGGAGGTACATAAGTAAAGAATCTGAAAAAAGCTGTAAAGTTGATCTCAGTAGGCACATATGTCTCATTGTACAAAACTGTTCCACTATTCCAGGTATTGCTGTTATTTGAACCGTACAAGATATGATGACCCTCTTTTGTTGTACCTTCTTAAACAATAAGAAAAAATATTTCGGTTTGGATATCAAGATGTATTGACTAATATTTAAAAAGCAATCAATCTACGTTTGTTTGGCATTAATAATAGCTTTCAGTATGAATGAATGCCATTTGCTAAGTATTGTTTGTCATGTATAAATAAAGAACGCCGAAAGATAATAAGAAACATAGCAATATTTCATCCAATCTGTATAACAAGATCCTAACCACACCAATCCATAACAAGTTAATGTAGAAAAAAGTTATCAACTTAAGAAATGAAAAGATATATCGACGGAAAAGAGCCCCTGAATTCGAAATCATCTTTTTCATAAATCTGCGGTAATTACATATCTCAGAAGTTCAGAAGAAACTCGACTATCAATCATCAGTTTTTATATTTTGAGTTTTGTCTTTTATATGTGTATTAGGGCTTCAAATTTCATGCCTTTTTAAAAAAAAAAACCTCCCAAAATAGCCTCATTTTGAGATTAGTCATAAATATATAGATATAAGCCAGAGCTTTATCCATAAAGATATTTTGCTACACGATGTATCTAACAAAGATGTGAATTTTATTTTAAAAAAATTCGGTAAACTTTGCCCATATCTTTTTTGATCCAAACGTTATGTGTTATAAAGAAATGCCTGTACCAAGTCAGGAATATGACCGTTGTTTTCCATTCGGTTGAGCTTTTGGTTTTGCCATTTGATAAGGGACTTTCCGTTTTTAATTTTCCTTGGAGTTCGGTAGTTTTGTTATTCTACTTTTGAAGATTTCGAAATGTTTATGACGTCAAAGCGACTTCAACAGTGACCTTTCTATACTGCAATTTTCAAGTTATATCAGTCTATAGCTATTTATTTGTCAATAACATTGACATAATTTTGAAAGGTTTTAATAATTTGATTTTTTTTGCAATTTCAGGCGACCACCATTGCCATTGACGAAAGGACAAACAGAAAACTAAAGAATGAGCAACACAAAGCTAACTAAAAACCTTGAATGCGCTTAGGTGCGCAAAAAGGATAAACAGTGCCTGTTTCGCATTTGTCAAAAGGTCAGGCCTATTGATAGACAAAAAACGTCATCAGATGAGGTAAAAAAAACCCAACTCGAACAAACAGGTCATGATTCAAATAGGATTGCAGGGAAGGTTCCATTGCATATTGTACATATATTTGATTAGCATGACTTTGAAATGCACAAGACAGGGTAGACTGATATGAAAATAAGGAGATGTGGTATGATTGCCAATGAGACAACTATCCACCAAATTTCAAATGAAGTGGATGTAAGTAATTATAGGCAACCGTACAACAATGAGAAAAACCCATACCGTATAGTCGGCTATAAAAGCACCCGACAAGAAAAATACGAAACAAATCAATTGAGAAAACTAACAACATAATTTATAACAAAATAATTTGCGAAAAACAAATATTACAGACATGAACAAACGAAACCACTGAACTGCAGGCTCCTGACTTTGGACAGACACATACAGAATGTGGTGATGTTAAATTTGTTTCCTTACATCCACTTCATTTGAGCTTTGGTGGATAGTTGTCTCATTGGCAATCATACCACATATGGTGGATAGTTGTCTCATTGGCAATCATACCACATATGGTGGATAGTTGTCTCATTGGCAATCATACCCATTATGGACAGCATTATAAGATTAATAGCAAGATTCCTAGTATTATTATTTAAAAGACACATAATAAGTTATTTTAAATATTTATCGTTAATTAACATACCACCGAGAAGGATAAACAATCCTCTTACGATACTTTTGTCTTTAAGGTCAACTTGAAATGTTACACTAGATCCTTTTGTTTTGGAACATGATGCTCTTTTTCCATCAATTGCTAGATTGGCCAGTTGACTACCACTTGGATGCTGCGAGACTAAACCGTCAAATGCTATGTTATCTGCAAAACAAAAATGTGTGCAGTTTGCTGTAGATTCCTTGTTTTATATTTTAGGATGAAATTGGTAATAGATAGGAATAAATATGTCAAATTAGATGAGACATGTAAGTATGTTTGTTTGTGAGATAAACATGCAGTTTAAAAAAATGTTTAATTGGAATTATTAAAATAACGAAGCACTTATACTAAAAAGAATGACATTCTTGGAGTATGACAGTCTATTGGTCTACATTCATTGGAACCTTTCATATACGGTACTAGTACTAAAACATGTGCTTTTATGCTCATAATGTAAGCCGCGGACCAGCAGTTGAGAAGGCAAATACATTGACGTTTGTAGCATCAAGACCAAAAATGATTACAAAACCATCTACGGTTAAATTTGCTTGTCGATGGCTGAACCTTGATAGTTTCAATAAAATTCCATCATTTATAAACTGTTGATTTAGAACCAAAACGCATTATTAAGCACATATCAATATTGAAGCACTGGTAACTGGGTATAAACTTTTGAGTTGAAACTTCATAAAAGTAATATATATGTGTAACCTGTTTTTACATGCCGAAATTTCGATCATTGTAATAAAACACGTTAATATAAATTAATAATTGTAGACAATTACTTACACTTGTCACAATAGCTTCCTGTGCGTCTTTCTTTACAACCATCGGTACAAACTGCAGAATGTTTATCGCAAACACCATTTAAACAGTGTTTTGTGTCACAACCCCAGACACAAGAACCGTTTTCAGGAATACAACTTTGCTCAATGCAATACGCACAAAATTCTTCACAAGTACTACCCCAGCGACTCTTTGGGCATCCTAAAAATATCCAAATAATATCAACAAGTGAAACCCATAGAAATTCATTAATTGTAGATTGTAATGAAATGCTACTTTATTTTGTTTTTTCTTTAAATGTGTCTTAGATTTATGTTTTAAAATCAACACAAAAATGGCATGAGTAGTATGTATTACACATTGTAGGTATACATTTTTAGTTAACTTTTATATTTTAAAAAAATATCATGAGGTCTAAAATATCTCTTGCTAATTAGGCATGAAAAAGTTTACTAATATATGTGTTTTTTATGCTTAAAGCTCTCTTGTCTTTATCAATCGTTAGCTGTAAAAACTAATTTTTGACTGTTGTACATGCTGATGAATCTAGAAAACAATGTTTCCAACGAAGCATCCACTAAGCGTAAATATTTGTGAATCCGATACTTTCGACCTACTCTGAAAAAATTAACAACTTAAAATGAGGCAAATGTATAGCCATTCATAGCCAATTGTTACAATGTAGATCATCAAATATGGACGATTTATATATATATATACTAAACTCACCGTTAATGGCAACGTAACATAATTCAACAATAGGTCCGTTGTTTGCATCTCCTTTATCATCGTAATAAATGACATATTTTCCAAGTTGATTACAAGGTATTGTCTGAGTGATGTTTGGGAGACCGGGATCAGGATCTTCATAACAGAGATAACTAACAGGTGGAATAGTTGATGTGTTGGTCACATATAATTTAAATCCATCCATCCGATAATCAACTGTAATAAAAATTACATTTGTATTAGTTTTTGAACGTAACTAAAACACTAGCTGGAAAATCTTTCAACTTTTAACTTGTGAGAAGAAGTAAATTAGATAGTACTTGATATACTACATCTATGCGTGCAGTAACATGTTCTTGTTAATATTCCTCCTTGGTTTTAACATAGAACGATACCAGCAAATGTATTTAAACGGCTTTCGAGATAACTTTCAAAAAAATGAACAGCGTTTTTCAAATGATCAATTTGATAAAGAAACTAAAGTATCAGAAAAAGAGTCCAATAAAAAAATAAAATATACTGCTCTTTTAATAACATATTACACCATTGAAAAAAAGAAAACGACGAAATGAAAATCAATTAAACACAATGCAAAACTTTACACAAAAGACAAAAGATTGAGTTACACTAATTTCACCAAAAACAGAATAAAATGCTTCGCTGAGCGCAGCTGGATACGCCCGCAACAGTTGGGGCAAAAATGGACACAATATTCAAGCTTGATACAGGTCTGAATTTGGATTGTAATTAAATATTTGACATATTATAGGTTTCTGAATAAATGTAGTCAAAGAACTTGAAATTGGTTATATGAATTGAATTTATCTTCAAACGTTACGCACGCTGTTCCTACAACCCATAGGATTTAAAAAAGAATCTTCGACATTTCCTCCGCAAAACAAAAAACAATGTTAGCAAACACTAACCACTATAAAAACAAATTCAGTATATGTTTTCAATAATGTTCTTATAGCTCTTGGTCGTATGCTTAGTAATATCTAGTATATTTGAGGATTAAAACAACAAAGCTATATGTGAAAAAACGGATGTCCAACGTTACATTTTTGAACAACTGTTTTAACTCTTATGTATAGTGATCCTATTTCTTATTCTCAGATTTTCCTGAAACTTGGCAAGAACAACGACATGTGTCTGTTCTTTGTGACAATTAAGTCATTATTTTGTCAAATTTCATTTGACTCGGCGGCTGCATATTAAGCTGGAATATGAAAAATGTCCAACGACGTTTTTCGTTGACTCAACGACTGAAAGTGTATTTTATAAGTAGATATAGCAGAAAAAAAATGGTTAGATAATAATAACATCTACCAATAGTACAACGATTTGCCTCATTGTTCGTGAGTTCAAATATTGTAGATTCTATAAAATCTTCTCTTTACAGTTGTTTTTCAAGCGGTAGTCATTTTGTCCAAGTTGATATTTCATTTGTCAAAGCAATTAATGCGGGTTTTTTACCTGATATTTCAATAAGTTATTTATAATTTATAAAAACAAAAGTTAGATACACGAAGAGTACACAATGCCTAGATTTGTTTTTTATTAACTACATGCTTGGGTCTGAAAGGAATAAAATGCTACGAAACATTACAAAACGGTAGTCATTTTGTCCAAACGGGTGAAAACGTCGAAAAATCCGAAAAACGCTTATTTCCGACGTTGCATGTGCTAAATTTGTTTCAATTAAATGTTCCTGATAATAAAAACAAATCGTGTGGTGAAATTTGGAAAAAGATATTGAAGGCTGTCGAAAAAAGAATAGTGCATATTGACAAACTCGGAACATAGATTCGACACAGATTAAATTTTGATATTTTATAACCATTTTTAGCTTTTAGTGATTTATTGTTGCTAGAGGCAAATGTTTGATTCAGAATGCGAATGATGTGTACAACTTTTGCAAAGACAATTTGGAGACACCAAGACAGTCCTCTATATGTTAAAGGTGAACTTTTCGTTATGTTGCGGAAGTACCCTGAAATAGATATAGATCATTTAAAGTCGCCCCTTCAGTAAGGTACATTCACCAAATTAAAAGTACAAGTACTCGAAAAGTTTTAGTTCGCGACTTGTCCTGCTACTCATGTTATAACTGTCGTACTGAAACTAATTCATTTACTAGCGAAGCCGGACCTTTTCGTCAAAATAAACTTGTGCATGAAACGGAGGTAATTGAAAGACTAAATGCAAACATCGACGAAAACAGTTTCATTGAAATAATACAACCCGGGATTGTATTACCCGTTTTAACGGACGATCCCGTATTTAATAATTCCGTCCCATTTTGCCTTCCTACATTATTTACGACAATACAGCCTTTTAAGGGGAATTAAGGGTAAACATTGTTAATCAATTTCTACAATTTGAGGTAATTCATGGTAAAAATACATCACAAAAATAACAGAGACAGAATCAACCCATAACATATAAAAAAACGAATGAAACTAACAAATTTAATCAATCGACGTCAAAATTTCAGAACCTCTTTGACGTCCCATTTTTGGTGTAACGTCGTGTTGTAGGAACATCGTACACAACGTTTCAATTAAAGATGTCTTGCTGTTGTGTAATACTTAGTAAATCTGTTGTCAGACTATAAACAAATAAAGTTCAATTTCTTCTCAATGTCATATTTGAAATTTATGAAAATAAATAGGGAGAATTACATTAATAGCTATAAATAATTCACCAAAGTTTCATGAGAACTGCTGAAAGCATTTTTGAGTTATTGTCCAAAAACTGGAAAATCCCCCCTTTTTTAATGAATAAAACCCCATAACTCAGAAATGTAAAATCTAAAATTTACAAAGTTCTAAAGGGAGCTTACATCAACAGATATAAACAATTCACCAAAGTTTCATGAGAACTGCTGAAAGCATTTTTTAGTTATTGTCCGAAAACTGGAAAATCCCCCTTTTTTTATGAATAAAACCCTGTAACTCGGAAACGTAAAATCTAAAATTTATAAAAATTGAAAGGGAGCTCATGTCAATAGATATAAACAATTCACACCAAAATTCCTTGCAAGTTGGTGAAAGCATTCTTGAATTATTGTCGGAAAACTGGAAAATCCCCCCTTTTTTAATGAATAAAACCCCCAAAACTCAGAAACGGTAAATCTGAAATTTATAAAAAACGAAAGGGAGCTCACGTCAATAGATATAAACCATTCACCAAAGTTTCATGCATATTGGTTAAGCTTTTGTTTACTTAATGTCCGACATGTTGACGACGGACGGACGGACGGACGGACAGACGGACAGACGGACGGACAGACGGACGGACAGACGGTCAAGGGTATACCATAATACGTCCCGTAAACTGGCGTATAAAAACAGGTGGTAAACTCAGTTTATCAGGAAGGGTCAGCATTATCTGCTTCATTAGCCACACCGCCATTAGTCCTGTTCGAAAACGTTGAAATGTCCTGTCAGGTGATAATTTGGACTTCCCCCTTTTTTAATATAGCTTTGAGTTCGGGATTTTTGTTGATATTTTTTTTTTTATATAAAAGCAGATTGCTGAATGTCTCTAATTAAACCCAAGACATCACCAAATTGATAAACCATCGCCAAAGTTAATTGTTTAATCCTAACCTTGGCCAAATATGAAAGTTTGAAGTTACGGTTCCAGGAAAAAACACAACTGTCACCGGTCACGATCATTTCCAAATTGAATGAATTTCATAACAGCGTGGACATGGACACACAGTAATTAAATGTAATGGTGTGTATCACTGGCTGTCGACAACAAAAACTTTGCGCAATTACAGTATGTCAGGCTAGCGCCCCTCAATGGGGATATACATAATTTCTCTTTACAAATGTCCATTCATAAAATAAAAGTTTTTGCATGAAAGTTTATAGGAATTTGTTTTGAATATATCTATATACTCACAACAAAAAGTTTCTTTTGACAGAATGAGTATATTCAGAGGTGATATCACCAAGAAATCGAGAAAAAAAAGTTATGTTTTTTCTAGCACACACGTTCTGTGGCTCCTTAAAAAATATAAGAAAACATTTATTCGTACGAGTTGATGTAAAGTAACCTACAATCAACTTTCATACTAAAATTATTTTTGTTGGTAATAAGAACCCCGGACCTTCATAAAAAATCATTTTAGTCCTCTGGGCAGCATAATTTTTTTGCACGGTACAAATTTGAATTCCCATCGAAGACTCCAACGATCAGATTTTCGAGAACATTTAAATATCATTCTAACAAAAAATAACTCGTGAAAATATCAAGAAGCTAGTGAATCCGATCTTGTGTGCAAAATTTACGTTGATTGGAGTCAGAGTAGCTTTTGTGGAAACATTGATACATGTAATTATTTTAAATTTTGTTATACCTGAACATGTATAACAAAAGTAACGGGATCTGTATTCTTTTACTACAAATTAAGCAGGTAATTTTAATGAATTTGGTCTTACTGAACTATGTTATTTGAGGACGCATATTTGAGACAATTCTGCATAAATGTTTATTTGCAATTGTATTCGTACTGATTTCAAAAGCCTCCTGCATAGCCATCCCCTCCCTTTAAAATTTGAACTGAATCAGGAATGATCGCCCCCTTACAATTTGAAATTGTACTCACTTCTTTTTCGGTATCTGTGTTACAACATATATCCACGAATTTAATAATATGTTCACAATACATCTATTTTGGAATAATGAATCATGTGCACAAGACTAAACTGGTCAGCTGTAACACAAGATAATGTACAGGTTTATTATGTCAACATAATAGTACCAGTTTAATAATAACCTTTAAACTCGGTGCACTCGTTTAATATTCTAGGTATTGTGAACATATTTAATTCATGGATAGATACTGAAACACAAATTAAGAAAAACATAAGTACAATTCTAAATTAAATCGCTGTGATCCGTTTATTCGTTTTTCAAATCAACAGAACAGCTGCATTTAACAGGTCGGGCACATTTCCTTATACGACATGTATTATTTAGCATACGTATGCCCCCGTCAATGCATGTATGAGTGTTTGTTTACAAATAAAGCATTTTTAAAGCATTTAAACAGTAGGTGTCCATGTCCACACTGTTATGAAATTCATTCTAATATAGGAAAAATTACAACACTGAAAACAAAAGCAAAAGCAATCGAACCCCCTTCAAAAACCAGCAGTGAACTCAAGTAAGCAGTCTCTGCTCCATATATACCAGCGGCA